TTCAGTCAACTTGAGATTCTCTTCACTCAATAGTTTGTTCTCCTCTGTTAAGGAAGAATGTTTGAGATTTATCTCCTCAAAGTCTTTCATCATCTTTTTGAACTGGTCAAAAAGATTTTCAGAAGTTGGTATGCTTTCATAAGAAGATGAGCAGGAGGTTTGTGAGGTTACCTCTTGATCAGCATCATCTTTGGCCATTAGGCAGAGAGTATCATCTTCTGACATGGTCCACCTATCCTCATGGTTGGACTTTTCAGCTCTGCGCTCCATGCAGACGAGAGCTTCTTCATCCGAGCTTGAGCTGGATGACTCGTCACTTTCAGCAGCAACCATTGCCTTCTTTTTCTTCTCGTTCCTTTCTCTTTCTCCGTACTTCTCCACTTTTGGGTACGGGCACGCTGACTTCCAGTGGCCAGGCTTCCTGCAGTTGTAACACAAGTAAGATTCAAGAGGAGAGTCACTTACCTATGACTTTGTCTTCGAGTAATTTGTTCTTGAATCAGCCTAATTATCTTCAATCTAGCCGTTGAAAATCAAGAGATTGATTTTTCCTTGCTACGGGTAGAATTTCTTCATTCAGGACTTAGATGATTTTCTAAGCCTTTTCTCACTTGTCCACTTTCTGAGAATTCCGGTCTTCGGTGAGTCTTCCGATTCTTAGCTTACAAATCCGGATGAGTCTTTTTCAGACTTCCGGGTGAGAAGGAGATCCGCGCTAGTCTTCCGATTTAAATGACTTAGCTTTCAGCGGGTTGTAGCGAGACATCCGGTTCTTATGTGGTCTTCCGGATCTGAGGATTTTCATCTGCTTGAGAAATCCTTACTTGTCTCTAGCTTTTCCGATTAAGATATCCAATTTCCATATTACTGAATTTGATTAAGTCTTCAGGCATCAAAACGCTTAAAGAAATATCACAACCTTAATGGAAAACTCAAGAACTTGGTTTTAACAATATTTCTAAAAAGAAAAATTACATTGAATATTGGGGGAGACCTAAAGTCCCTATTACATTCTAAATAAATCATCATCAAAATCTATAATATTTTTCCCAACAGTTTGTTGTCCCCCAATTCAATGAATTCATTAACAAGCTTGCAAAGCGGACAACAGTCATCATCACCAGGCATGGCGTTACCCAATGTCTCTAGGCCTCACCTCTCCTCTACACCCATGCCAATCCAACCACCTCCTAATCTCACCTCATATGTCCCAAAGTTTGACGAGTCTTTGTATTCAGATCCCGTCGTTCCATTTTCAAAACCATTGAGCCTGGACGTGGGCGGTGAGAGGGTTAATTCAGCCTTGATGATTCCAAGCCATAGTCACTGGCCGAAATTGTGGGATGGTGATTACAATCTTAAAGGTGTAGAGAATCAAAGGATAAACCAACACGGGATTCCTTTCTTGACTAACAGTAACATGCCTATCGAACCACATTCTTGAGTATTGCCTCTCCCAAATGCATTGTAGAGATCACAACAATATCAGCATCCTGCATCTTTGTCAATGGTTAGTCCGCGCAATTCAGTACCCTTTCTAATATATGACAGGATGCACTCTTTCGTAATTGTGAGCATATATGCATTTGCATTGTGATGGGTGATTTAATTTATTTGTGAAATGTGCAGGTGAACATCTTGTCAGGGATTTCATAATCATCTGTACAGAAATGTCAGATAGAGCCCCCTTCAAACCAAATTTACCGTGACAAGGATCATACTCTTATGTGGCCTGAGGAATTGAAGGTATTTATGTTGCTTGTGATGGGGTTTGTTTGGACATTATACAACAACACCAATAACAGCCCAATAGGATCCCACGAAAGTAGGGTATGAGGAGGGTGTGTGTACGAAGACCGTGTTGTTGATATTGAATTGATAATGTATGAATTGATTTGAGCCACATAAACCATACCAAATATGGTGTGTGTCAAAAAAATGGGATTGACTATACACACACACACACACACACACACACACACACACATACTTACACACACACACACCATATTGATGATATACCACAAAAACAGTTAATCTTTGAGTTTGTTCAATGGAATTAGAATAATGAAGTCAGTTAATTGGTTTAAGTGTTACAAATAATGAATAAATGTGATTATATATAAATATTTTGTTGCTGAAATTCCTCTGCTGACCGAATATTTTATTAATTACTGATGTGATCAAGATGGTTGGTGTTAAGAGGCCATACCCCTTCTCTCCAGAGTACCCACCGGTTCCCTCATTTCATTGCAAACTTTTCCTGGATATGTTTCTTGCACATCTAGAGCAATTGAACCAACATCCTGTGGTAATGGCAGTATAGTTAATGTAGAATCACACAATTCTCCTCCCATAAGGTATTGTATCAGACCCGGGGTTCCTAAAAATAATCATAGTTCGTGAATGTATTGTGAGCTTTTATTTTTCAATTCTATTGTGTTCAAGGAGGCTACTTCAAGTTCGAATTCATAGTTCGAGTCCAACTCAAGGAGTATTAACCGAGAAAACAGAGCTCTTAGTGGAGATTTCCTCTCCTTGGCCCCTCCAGCTGCAGCTTCTTTGCCACAGATAGATCATTATAAATACCACCACTGTTCTTGAAATCCACCCCCCATTTATCTTGAAGCATCTAATCAGGTGAGCATACTTTTTTTTATATCTTTCATGTCTTTTGTTTAGTTTTTATTTATTTAACATCAAAGTCCTCTTACCGTTTAAACACATGCGGACAGCCACACATCTTCACCTTCTTCCCACCAGCAAAGGTGCAAAATGACGCCGAAGAAAGCTTTAAGAGAAGTCACAATAGAGATGCTAATGGAGTTGTTGATATGAACCTCAAACTTTAGCAGCTAGCAAATCCCCTTTGATGTTTTTCCCTTGTTAGAATATATATTCCCTTTGTAATGTTTCATTTTTTTCATATATCTAATCATCAAATCAAGTAAAATGTGGTTCTGTACGTTTGAACATAAAAGAGGGCAATGCTCGTCTGAAGTTTTCCATCAAGTTGGGTCGAAGAACCATACCCCTTTATAACTACGTAACAGTATGTGAAATCTCAAAACAAATTTGTACAACATACATTAATAAGAGTTTGGTGGGCCGATCATGTGATACACACGCCAGTTGGTGGGTGTTAGCCTTGGTTTGCTAAGTCTCATGTTTTGATGTTAACAAACAATATAAGAGTTTGACGTTTGTTTAAGTGTTTCAGGTACAACAAGAATCCATTAAGATTCGGTACTCAAGTATGAAGTCGAAACACTAAACTAGCGTAGAATATAGGTAGAAACCAATGTAAGGATATGACTTTATATACCTATATTCACAAGCTCAAAAGCACTCACAAAATATGTTTAAAACCATCCCATAAACATTTTCAAAATATCCAAAAGGTTTTAAACTCAAACGCGAAGGATTACGGGAATTTTGGAAAAAGCAGGATAGTGGCACGGTACCCCTAGCGGTACCCCAAACAGTAGGGTATACCGCCTACACGGTACCCCCATACCGTGTAACGGTACCCAGGTACTGTACGGTAGTCACAGACGGTAGACCACCCCGTCCTAACCCGGTACCGCCAGAGGCGAAAACTTATTTTGGCCTATACGGTACCCCCACACGGTAGGCCGTACCGTGTCACGGTACCTAGGTACCGGATGACACGGACCCCCCTACCGTGAAGGGTACCGGATCTGTTGTAATCACTGTAGCAAATTGCCAATTTAAATTCTAATCACCCCTAATCACCTCCCAACGGCTAATTAACATCTTCCACTATAATTTCAAGCCTAATCCTTCATATTTCTTCAAGAAACAAAGCTCTAAACATCCTCTCTTTTTATTCTAAGTGTGTTCATCCTTTTATTAATTATTTTCAATATTTTGGCTATTTTAAAAGCCTTAAATTCCTGATTTTTATACACACACTTTGAGCTTGTGTTTCTAGTTATATACTCTCATGTTCATAAGTTTGAATTGTATTTTTTAGAGAGTATACTTTCCTTCTACACCGGCTAAGTTTTGTTCTTCATTTTTATATTCAAGCCGTTGTGTAGAACTCTTGTTTGTGTTCTTCAAACACATCTTTATACGGTCGAGAATAGCCGTTAGATTCTCATATTGTATCGGTCGAGGATAGCCGTTTAAATCCTTGGGTAAAGGTTCAAGGATAGCCTTTGAAATCCTTGGGGGAACGGTAGAAGATAGCCGTTAAATCTTCATTGTAAACGGTTCGAGATAGCCGTTGTGAAATCTCGGAGTGAATCCTATTGGCAAGGGTTGTCTGCCAAAACTAGTGCGTGTTGGTCTTATGGGGGACCATCGATCACCCTTAGGGATTCGCTACTGTGCTAGTCAAAGTATCGGGTACTGACAGCCCAACCTGACGAGGTACACGAGTCGTGTATCTTGCGAAGCTCCTCCTGTCCATCCACCGCTCAGTAGTGGGGCTCCGCACTGCCATAGTGAACTATAGGGGGTGCCCTATAGGAATCTACCTCGGCTTGGGGCTACAGAGAGATGTGGTTAAATACAAAGTGTCCACCTTCCTATCACCAATTGGTTTTAGGAAGCATTTGACACCTCTTTAACTTCAGAACTCTGTAGTTAAGCGTGCTGGAACGGGAGTAGTCCCAGGATGGGTGACCCACTGGGAAGTTCTAGAAAATGATCCTAAAAGTGGTATCGGAGCGAGGAAGCAGGCTCGAATTCCCCGGGTGTCGCTGGGGGGAGATTGTTGGTCTTATGGGGGACCATCGATCACCCTTAGGGATTCGCTACTGTGCTAGTCACAGTATCGGGTACTGACAGCCCAACCTGACGAGGTACACGAGTCGTGTATCTTGCGAAGCCCCTTCTGTCCATCCACCGCTCAGTAGTGGGGCTCCGCACTGCCGTAGTGAACTATAGGGGCTGCCCTATAGGAATCTACCTCGGCTTGGGGCTACAGAGAGATGTGGTTAAATACAAAGTGTCCACCTTCCTATCACCAGTTGGTTTTAGGAAGCATTTGACACCTCTTTAACTTCAGAACTGTGTAGTTAAGCGTGCTGGTACGGGAGTAGTCCCAGGATTGGTGACCCACTGGGAAGTTCCAGAAAATGATACTAACAATTGGTATCGGAGCCTAACTCTCTACAAGCCTTGACCGGTTGAGAGAACGATCTATATTTTTTGTTGAGAATGTCGTATGCAGGATTAAGTGAAGGACACTCCACCGTTAGACCTCCACTCTTCGATGGAACAAACTACACCTATTGGAAGGAACGAATGAGGATTTACATTCGGTCAATCAACTTCCAACTGTGGTTAATCATCAAAAATGGTGAGACGGTGCCAATGAAAAAGGTTGGTGAAACCACCATCCCAAACAAGGAGGAAGAATATGATGCTGAAGACATCAGGAAGGTAGAAGCTTTTGAGAAAGCTAAACACGTGATTTTTTGTGCAATTAACCCGGATGACTACCGGAAAATTTCTTCTTGCTCCACCGCAAAAGAAATGTGGGATAAGCTTCAAGTGACATACGAAGGTACGCCTCAAGTCCGTGAAGCTAAAATCGATTTTCTAACCCATGAATATGAGTTGTTTAAAATGAAGGAAATCGAAAGCGTTGATCAAATGTTCGACCGATTTTTAAAGATCATCAACGATCTCCATGTCCTTGGTAAAACATACTCGAACAAAGATCTTGTTCGAAAAATCCTTCGGAGCTTAACATCAGAATGGCGTTCAAAAGCCGATGCCATATATGAGTCAATTGGTAACACCAATGTCACCATCGATGGTCTTTGAGGTAATCTTAAAACTTATGAATCCACTGTTCTTAAACCTTCTCTTCACAAGAGTCCCGGTCTCGCTCTCAAAGCCTCATCCTCAAAAAGGGTAGAGGTAAGTGACTCCGATAGCGATGACGATAATCCTTCTTATAACTTGCTCGAGAAGTTCCAAGAGTTCTTGAAGGAAGAACTTAGGTCCCGAGATTGTAAAAGAAAGGGGGAACCCATTCCAACGTGCTTTGGTTGTGGAGAACTTGGCCACATAAAGTCATATTGCCCATACCGCAAGGAAAAGAAGAAGAAGGAACGAGCATACATGGCATGGGATTCGGAAAGTTCCGGTGACGAAACTGCTACCTTATGTCTTATGGCTCATGAACAAAATGGAGAGTTAAGTACTTGTAACTCTTTCTCATTTGAAGAATTACAAGAAGCCTTTCAAGAATTATTTGGTGAATTGAAGAAAACTTCAAAAATTGCCAAAGAGGCTAAGGTAAAAATTCATGCTTTGGAAGAGGAAAATAAATTTTTGGAAAATGATAATTTTGACCTCAAAAATAAAATTAAGGCAATGAATGAAGCTTCTTCCTTTGACCAAAGTTCTACTTGTTCCTCTTGTGAGTCTTTAAAAATAGAGAATGTAGAACTTAAGAGCACCATAGAAAAACTTAAGGTAGAAGAACCTAAGAAACTTGGTGAAGAAGTTAATAATGATAAACCACCTA